TACTCTAGCCAGAGCAATCAGGAAAAAGAATGAAATTAAAGAGATACAAATAGGAAAATAAGAGCTCAAATTATGTGTTCGCCAATGACACAATCCTATATTTAGAAGACCCCAAAAAAACTCCACCAGAAAACTTCTACAGCTCATCAATGAATTCAGCAAAGTAGCAGGATACAAGATCAACACCTATAAATGAATTGTTTTTCCTATCCTTCTATGATGAATCTGCTCAAACAAAATTAGGATAAATATCCTGTTCATGATAACCTGAAAAAAATTAAATACTTGAGAATTAATCTAAAAAAATAGGTGAAAGACCTCTACAATTAAAACTATAGAACCCTAAAGAAAGAAATTGAAGAAGACCTTAGAGGATGGAAAGATTTCCCATGTTTCTGGATAGGCAAAATTAATATTGGTGATATTAAAATGGTGACTACCAAAAGCACAATACAAATTCAGTGTAATTCCCATCAAAATTCCAATGATGTTCTTCACAGAACTAGAAAAGGCAGTTATGAAATTCATTTGGAAAAATAAGAGACCCAAAATAGCTAAAGCAATTCTTAATGAGAAAAGTGAAGTAGAAGGCATCACAATATCAGACCTTAAATTACACTACAAAGCTCTAGTATCTAACAGCATGATACTGGCACCAAAACAGGCATGAAGATGAGTAGAACCGAGTAGAATATACAAAAACAAACCTATATAAATACATTTATCTGATACTAGACAAAGGTGCCAAAAGCAGTTTGGAGAAAGGATAGCCTTCTTAACAAATGCTGCTGCGAAACCTGGAAATCTAGTAAAATTAAATTTAACCCCCATCCCTCACCCTTCACAAAAGTCAACTGAAGGTAGATCAAAGACCTAGAAATTAGACCAGAACCCATGCAATTGCCAGAAGAAAATGAAGGCCCAACACACCAACATGTTGACTCAGGAAATTACTTCCTTAACAAGACTCCTTTAAAGCAAAGAAGTAAAATCAAAAATAAATGGGATGGCATCGAATTAAAAAGCTTCTGAGTAGCAAAGGAAACAATTAAGAGCATGAAAAGAGAGCCAACAGATTGGGAGAAAATCTTTGCCTCCTAATCTTCCAATAGAGCATTAATATCCAGGATATACAAAGAACTCAAAAAATTTAACACCATAAAAAACAAGTAACCCAATCAATTAATGGGCAAAGGAACTAAATAAGACACTTCTTAAAAGAAGAAATACAGTCAACAAATATATGAATGACCAAGACCCTGCTCTGCACAAAATCTTTCTGTCCTGCTCCTCCTTTCCACCCCTAAAAAAAACCCTTTGTGCCCCCAGGCTCTCCACCCCATAAAAGAGCTTTCTGACATGCCGCAGTCTGGCTGGACACAAATGCCGCAGTCTGGCTGGGCACACAATCACGAGCCACCACACACCTTGTAGATTCAAACAGCAACTCTTTATTCCCGAACTCACACCAGCCGTCTACAATCACGTTCTGGGGAAATCCACGTTCTCTGCCCAAATCCACCTCCACTGGGCTTCTATCTCCCAAAAATTACTGTCTGAATCCCGTGAGAACTCAAGGGGAACTCAGGCAGCAGGATACGCCCTATTCCTAGCAGGAATAATCTTAAACCTGGAACGCCCTAAACCCAATTATCCTAAACCGGGAACACCCTAATCCGCCCTGGTCCTTGGGCAAGGTCACCTACATTCAATGTCACTGCAACATGGGGTACGCTGGCAAGGAAATTGTCATACCTACTTGGCTAATGGCTCCCAGCACTGACAGAAGTCCCCCTTTCTTCTCCCTTAGCTGGCTTTTCAAATAAAGTCAATTTTCTTATCTCAACACTTCATTTCTCATTTAATTGGCCAATCCCAGGGTGAGCAGAGGTCCTTAATTCTGTTAACACATGTGTGTACTTCCTTGTAAACTCCAGTTTTAACAAAGAATCTGCTAGGCCAGTTTATCCAGAATTCCCATCTTTGATAGCAGATGACCCTCAATATCTAATCAGTTTTCTCTTCCTCTGCCATTTCCCAGGGAGATCCAGACACTGACCTATCTTCAGCAAGAATCCTATCAGCTTAATTTAACCAGATTCCCCTCACCCCTGAAGTTTCCTCTCAGTAATTTTCCATTCACTTATTAGGTAGTAGCTAGCAGTGAGCAGTGAAATACATGGCAAGGTCACAAGCATTTTTTAAATTATGTTAGGGTCTTCTTTAAACTACTTTCAAATTGGATGAAAAAGTAAAGTGCGTTAGTTAATTTGGAGTAAATAAACAGAATGAAAAATAAGTCAAAATAAAAGGAGTAATGGGACTAATTCTTGACAGGGTCCATTGATATTGATGTGAAGCTAGGAATTATGACTATAGGTATCTCCATTTGTCTGGGAGGGAAGATTCCTTTAGTAGCGCATGAACAAAATGAGGTAACGACTGACCAGCTATTGACCCCAGTTCCCACGTTAACATGGGATTGACTTGTAGATGAAGCCCCCCTAAATAGAATAGCCACCATAACAGTTCCAGACAGGGAAAACTAAGGTCCAGAAACTCTCACTACCTGAAGTGAAGGAGGAGTTGAATACCTGATTTCCAAAGAGTACAGAAGGTGGTCCCCAGTTCTCATGGTAAATATCAAAGAGTAATAAATTTGGAGACAATGTTGCCTCCTTTGTCATTCTCTACTTGCAGAGGACCCACGAGAGAGAGAGAGAGAGAGAGAGAGAGAGAGAGAGAGAGAGAGAGAGAACTCTCCTAAAGCCTCACTTTGCTTTTACTTTATTTTCACCTCACTTTCACTTACAATAAAGTTCTCTTGAATGGGTTTTGGTGTCTGACATTAAATTAAGGAACATAAGAATCAAGGTTTGGAGTTTCAGCTCCCTGCTTTCCTGTGACTCACCCCGTCCTGATCCTATCAGAAAATTCCCACTTGCCCATGCTATATTCAGAGTTAAACCCATTCTCTTTATCCCTCTAAAAAATCTGATTGCCATGGTCCCTATACCTTTTGTGATTGTCCTGACTAAAGTCTTCCTTGCAGTGCTTTAACAAATATCACTCAATATTAGTTTTTACGATACTGAGGATTTAACCCAGAGTCAAATATGCTAAAAAGTACTCTACCACTGCAATATACACTAGTCCTTTAAAATTTTTATTTTACAACAGGGCCTTGCAAAATTGCCAAGCCTAGCCTTGAACTTGTGATCCTCTTGCCTCAGGCTCCTGAGTATCTGGGATTTCAAGTGTATGCCACCATGCCTGACTGAATTATTTTCCTTTAAAACTAACATGTTTTTAAAAAGAACATATCTATGTATTTTTATACACTTAACATTAATATTTTAAAATATTACATACGATATATATAGAAAACATCTAGCACACAGTAGGCTTTCATAAATTGCATATTACTTTCTGTGCTGGCTAACTTTATAAATCAATTTAACCAGGCTAAGAGATGCCCATATAACTGGTAAAACATTATTTGTAAGTGTGTCTGATGGGGGTGTTTCTGAAAGAGATTAGAACTTGAATCAATAGACTGAGTAAAGAAATCCATCTCACCAACACAGATGGCCCTTGTCCAATCCATTGAGGGCACAAATAGAACAAAAGAGCTAAGAACAAATTCACTGCTCTTCCTCCTCCTTTTCTTCTCTTCTTTGTTTCCTGTTTCGGTTTTGTTTTGTTTGTGTTTGTTGTTTGTTTCCTGTACTGGGGATTGAACTCAAGGGAATTCTACCACTGAGCTTCATCCCCAGCCTTGTTTTCAAATTTTATTTTGAGACAGGTCTTACAAAGCTGTGGAGACTGGACTTAAACCTCAAACCTTCTGTGGCTATATAGCCTGAGTAGCTGGGTGTGTGTGTGTGTTATTGCATTCAGCTTACACAGTCTCTCCTTGAGCTGGGTCACCCATCTACTCCTGCCCTCAGACATCAGAGTGTTTCACCTTCATATTCTTGGACTTTCATTGGTACCTTGCCTCACACCCCATCCCTGTTCTCAGGCCTTCAAACTGGAGCTGAATCACACCACCAGTGTCCCGTTTTCTAGTTTACAGAGATGGTAGAATTTAAGAGCCCAATAATTACATGCATCAATTCCTATAATAAATCTCCTTTTATATACCTATATATCCTATTAGTTGCTTCTCAGAGAACCCTAATACACTCTCCCTCCACCAAAAATGACTAATGTGTTTGGTTCAAAATGATACAGATTTCAGCAATGCATCCCACCAAAATGAACTGTGTAAGACACAGTTGGAAAGAGAAGGCCTTTGACATGACACCGGGAGAAGTGATTTACAATGCAAGACAGATAAGAAGCAAAGACAGAATGGCAGGTATAGGCAGAAATGTCACCAACCCAGACAAAATTTAACAAGTGGAATCAGGGAAACAGACAAACATTCACAGGAAAAGAGAAAACAATAACTATTCTGAGCATTCACTATGTTCCAAACAGTTCCTCTAAAACTTACTTACTCCTCAGAGGTACAGTATCATGATGCTCATTTTACAAGACGAACTCTAAATTTCAGAAAGGTAGAAACATTTGCCTGAGGCCCTGCAGCTGATGATGAATGCAAAAGCCAGTATTCAAACCCAAAGCTGCTGTCTTTTCTGCCAGGCTTCAAAGGAGAAAGTAAAGAAAATATAAACACATCAATACAAATACATAGAAGTATAGGCACCCAGACCAAAAACAAGCATAAAAGATCAAAAAAAGAAACACCTGCAGAAGGTATGCATACAAAAAGAAGGCCCCGAGTGTTAATTTATTCGCTTCAGAGGGGCGGGGGCACGGAAGCCAAGATCCAGGAAAAACTTTTACCCATTTGTGTACTTAGGAGAGTACCCAGGTCCAATCCAGACCGGGCACATAGAGAGGACCAAACCTCCCACCGCCTAGAAGGGCTCCAGCGCGGCCAGGAGGCGGGGCGAAGAGCCTCTTCCGGTTCCGGGCGCAAAGGCCCCCACGTGTTCCGACCCGCTAGGTTCCGCGCGGCTCGGATCCGGCGCCGCTGCTACGGCCGGGAGTGGGTGGAGGAGAAGCCGGGGCAGGGGAGGAGCCGCCGGAGCTGCCGGAGCCGTGAGTGCTGGGGGCTGGGCCCAGCCGTGCCGCGCCGCGTAGGGCAGAGCCGGGCAGGGCAGGGCCAGGCCGGGAAGAGGGGTGGGACCGAAGACCCCGCCCCCCAGAGCCTGGGGAAATCGCACGGTCCTGGGGAAATCGCACGGTCCTGGACCAGGTGGCGGCGATGTCCAGGCAGGGTGGACGCGTTGTATCCTCAGTGTCTCCTTGAGGCCAAAGCCAGGACCTTCGGAGACGTGGATGGCGCTCCAGGTTTCTTTCTCTTTCCAGCCACCGCCCTCTGCCTCCTGGGGCCTTCAGAAATGCATTCGGTCCCTCCTCTTGCTTCCACGCCAACTGCCCTCCCTCCCCACCGGAACCAAGGGAGGAGTGGTCTGGGCCCCTAGATTTTCCGCTGCTTTTTCTTACTCCGCCTCTCAGATTGCTCAAGAATCCTCTTTCCGCAGGGCATCCTGCCCAAGAGAGCCCCATCTCCTTCCACCAACCCCTCCTCCAATACATGCAGATACACTCGCCCGTGATCTTATCACCTGTGATCATACTGCGCTTTAGAGCCCATCTGATCTGTGGTTTTTCAGCTGCCGCTGTCACAGACCCTGAGCTTCCCTTCAGGCTAGTGGCTGTTGTCTCCGCTTGTAGGTTCTGTCCTCCTGCCCTTAACAGCCAATTTGGGTATCTCTTCTCAACACCATTTACCTATTGAAGTAGTAATTTTAAACTTTTATTTGTATGCTGTTTTCTCAGAAAGGGATCATCCCCAATCCCTCTCTACCCAGCTCAGCATTGAATGTTCTTATCTCTTAGGCACTTTGATAACCCTGTCTTGGACTTTGTGCTGGCCTCCCCAAAAGGAAGCTCTTAGGCTTAGTCCTGCTTGAACCACCTTGGTCCAGGGTAGCAGTGCCACATCAAGGCTTTTGCTTAGAGGGTAGACTTAGAGCTGCTGGCTTTTCTCCAGAGCAGCTACATTCAAAAGCCACATGGAATGCTAGTGGAGTCTCTCTTCTTCCAACTTCTCTTGCAAGCTACTGCATTGGCCTTGATACAGAAAGCTCCTTTAGAAAGGTGGTGGGATAGGTATGGGAGATTTGTTGGTAAGATAAGTGTGAGACAGCAAAGCATTTAGGGTTTGTGGCCATTTGTCTTGATTAGCTTTCTGCTATCACTGTCTACCATAAGTTAGTAAGCAGGACTGGAGGGAGAGTAGGAATATTTTCTCCTAGGACCAGACACCTAGGATGGCTAATGTTTTCTCCCTTTCTCCTCCAGCTATCCCCATTTTGCACTCTGTATATATACTATCTTGCAGTAGACAGTTATTTCAAGGGTAAGGCAAGGTTTACTATGATGTGAGGGATTCTTACACATTACAAACTATACTGAAGAGGTAAGTTGTATGCTTATAATGGTTTTATCTTCCCAGTTAATTTGACATAGACATAAAACATGAAACACCTCTACACTTCCTGTTTTGGCTGTCTTCTTACCAACAAACCCTCCTTTAATTTGGCCAACACTGGAAAAGTTGGATTCATTCTGCATGTATCTCCAATTTACTTTTTTGGCGGGGAGAGGGATTGCCATGGATTGAACTCAGGGGCACTCAACCACTGAGCCACATCCCACATCTATTTTGTATTTTATTTAGATACAGGGTCTCACTGAGTTGCTTAGCACCTCGCTTTTGCTGAGGCTGGCTTTGAACTTATGATCCTCTTATCTCAGCCTCCTGAGCCACTGGGATTACAGGTGTGCACCACCATGCCTGGCTTCTGATTTATTTCTTTTGCCTCAAATTTATCTTATTAATTAAAAGCATCTGAAAGGCTTCTTAAAAACAGATTGCTGAGGCCCACCCACTGAGTTTCTGATAGTAGGTCTGTGCTGGGGTGTGAGATTTGCATTTCTAACAGGGTCTCAAGTAGTATGACATTGGTGTGGATTCATCACTTTGAGAACCACAACCTTTGACAAAACTTTGTGATATAAATGTTGCTGAGATTTGAGGTCCAGAAGACTTTTTTAGTACTTCTGTGCTGGAAGCTAATAGTAGTCTGGTATTTTGTGGGGAATTTCACCACTTGTATATGGGTTCTTTTTTTTTTTTTTCTTTTTCTTTCAGTACTGGAGATTGAACCCAGGGGGTACCATAGCACCAGGCTACATCCTATCTTTTTGTTTTGAGACAGGATGTAGTTGCCCAGACTGGCCTCAGTGCAGTTGCTGTCACCTCCAGAGTCACTGGGATTACAGACCGTGCCACTGCACCAAGGGCCTGGACTCATTTGTAAAATGAAGTGTACTTAAAAAAAAAAAAAAAAAATGAATACTACATTATCTTTATGCCAAATTTAAGATGAAATATTGATTTTTTTCATAACTTTCATAGTTCTCTTGAAAGGAGATTCCTATTTTGATCATATATATATTAACACCCACATTCTAGGTTTTTGCTGTGAGTTTCAGTATTGCTAAAGTCCCTGCCATTTCTTAATTACCCCTAAATTCCTCAAGCTCAGAGCCTGTTCTTTTTTTACATGAAATAGTGTGGGACACACAGCCAACTGAGGCTCAGTAGATGTTTGTGAACTGAATGAACTCTATCCCCTACTCTCTTCCCTTTCACAAAGTTTGTCTCTACTAATATTTTACCACCAAGTAAAGCAGGATAGACTTGACTGATATGCCACCTGAAACTGGAATAAATGCTAATGTCAGATTCCCACAACTCTTCCTGTGAACTTTTTTTAACCAAGAAGCCCTGGCACCCAAATTTCTGAATTTTCATTGCTTCTATATCCAGGTTAGTGGAAAATAAATAGAAAAAGCTTACTTAAATTCAGCTTTTTCTGAATTTATTTATTGGGCTCCTTTTCTACAGAATATTGACACAATGGTAGGCACTAGGAGTACATCCTTGCTCTTAGAGTCAGGCTCACCGAGTAGAACACAGTAATCTGTGTCCACACTAAAAATGACTTCTGTCTCCTTGGGTCATGAATTAGTTGGCAGTAAAACCTGGTTCTTCCGATTTCTCCAGTTCATCAGGCACTGCTCCCATCCTATATGTCTCCTCTATGTATCAGAAAACCAGAAGGAAGTCACCTGGATGCAGCAGGGGGTGTCCTGGCCAGATGTGTTAATTGCAAAGGCAAAAATAGTAAATAACTTTTGAATTGACTTGTTCTCAGTTATCCATATCAACACCTCAGATCAGACTCTATTTGTGATATGTTATCCTATTATTCCCATTAAATGTTTCCTCTAAAAGTAGTTGACATTGACCATGTTTGTTGCAGAAATTGAATACATCTAGTTTAGCTCTGGCTGCCAAATAAGAGCTGCTGCCCTCATCGGGGTGGGTGTTAGGCTTGATGTCCCTTCTTTTTCCCTGAGGCTTCATGATTGACCTCAAGCTGGGGATGGTGGTGCACACTTGTAATCCTAGCTACTCCAGAGGCTGAAAAAGGAGGTTCAAAACCTCTTCAACTTAGTGAGACCCTGTCTCAAAGTAAGTCTTTGTTAAAAAAAATTGCTGGGGGTATAGCTAATTGGTAGAACATTTGACTAGTATGTATACGGCCCTGGGTTAAATCCCTAGTATCACCAAAAAAGAAAAAAGATTGACTGCTTTATTTAGGTTAGTAACTGATTCTGGGTTAACATCTCTTAAGGTTAAAAAGTCTAGCTTCACCAGACATGGTGGCACACGACTGTAATCTCAGCCATTTGAGAGGCTGAGGCAAGAGGATCACGAGTTCAAAGCCCACCTCAGCAATTTAGCAAGGCCCTAAGAAACTTAGTGAGAGCCTGTCTCAAAATATAAAGTAAAAAGCCCTGGGGATATGGCTCAGTGTTTAAGCATCCCTGGGTTCAATCTGTGTTTGGTTCTAGTACTTCTCAACTATTGAATAAACACATATATTATATGTGTTATATTATTATATAACTCAATGAACAAGCCACATGTCCTTGTTCCTCTCAAAGCCCCTTCTTAATAATCATCAAAAATCTGGACAGTTTCTCAAAGGCCAATCCAGTTCTCTGCCTTTAGGTAGAGAATCATCCGTATCTTCCAAATGAGTTGATGTGACTTGACTAGATCTTTACAAAGTAGAACAGGAGGTAAAATGCAAGTCCTCTACCTTAGCAGGCAGAACTGACTACTATCTTTGTTGTAGTGGGGGTGGATAACTGAGAATTGATAAAATTTTTATCAATTTTATCTTGAGTAGGGGTCTTTCTAAGTTGCCCAGACTGGTCTGGAACTTGAGATCCTCCTGCCTCCGCCTTCCAGGTACCTGGAATTATAGAATAGCACGCACCATGTACCTGGCAAAAACTGTCTTAATATTGCTTCATAGGCCTGAGTGTACAACCATAGAGAAACATTTTAATAGAAATACACTGAATTGTTAAAATTTTTATCTTACATTTTCTTGTTTACCTTTACCCTCAATGACATTTTATACCTACCTTAAAACTTTACTGCTGACCACAGATCTCCAGGATTTCGGGTTAGAAGACATTTGTATCTTCCCACACTGACCTTCCTGTACCACCCTCTTTTTTGTCCTGTCCTGTCTTCCCCTTCTCTACACCTTATTCTGTTTCTTAAAACCTATTGTAATAAGCTTTGAGCCATTCATCCCCTTGCTACTCAAATATTACTTTTATGAAGGAAAAAAATTCAGTGACAAATAAATGTGTATATATATATTTATATTGATTTATTATTTCGGTATGGAGAATTGAACCCAGGACACTTAGCACTGAGCTGTATCCCCAGCCCTTTTTATTTTTTATTTTGAGATAGTCTCCCAAGTTGCTGAGGCTCACCTCAAACTTGTGATGTTTCTTGCCTCAGCCTCCTGAGTTGCTGGGATTACAGGCATGCACCACCACACCTGACTGGCAAAAATATTTTAATGTGATAGGGTTTTGTGGGGCTGGGGATATAACTCAATGGCAGAGTGCTTACTAGCAATACAAGATCCTCA